ATTACAATTTTATAGCAAGCCAGTGTTATTTTGAGTACCAAGGCAGGATGTAGACATGAAGAGCCGAATGTCAGGCTAAGCTTGTTTCACCAGTCAGCAAAGAATTTGGGATGTTTTGAAGGTGCACAGACCAGAAAAACCAGCTGGATTTTTTAATGAGGCAGTTTGCCTTTGCCTAATTTCGTGTTGCTAGACCTATATGTCTACTTTTGCTTGGGGAGGGGGGTTACCTTATCATTATTGTAACGTTGGTTTGGAATGAACTGCTTTTGGTGACTATGCAATAGCACTTGTTGGTCACCAACAGCAGCTCTTTACTGATACTCCTGTGGTCAAACCATTTACTTTATTACAGTACTGTCAGTCTTCTAGCCATTTTTACTTTCAACATTATTATTAACAAGGATAAAAACTGACCTATTCTTTTACTCAAAGCATGTATAAGGTTTTGATGCTCTTCCTGTTTCTAGTCAAAGCGTCTTGAAGACAGAAAACCACCTTTAGTTTTGTCTAAAGCCCTTGGTTGTATTTATGAAAATAGAGTTTTTGATTGATTTTATATGCTACTTTTATTATCATTTAAACTCTTTCAGGTTACTCCTCCAAAAAGGCCCAAGACTGATGAGGTATATTAAATGAATAATGCCTGTTTTCAATTTGAGTTTTATTTTATAACAGTCGGTGTTAGTCATGAAATCAATAAATAAGTGACCATGTTTCAAAAGTAAGCTCAAGGTTCATGGGGTTCTTCACTTTGGTAGTTGAATTGTTCATTTGATAGAGAAAACAGTTTGGTTGAAACCAGTAGCATTACCATATAACAGAGGCAAAAATTATACCCACTAGATTGGCTGTTTAAAGCATTTTTCCTATAGAATTTTCAATTTAATCCAAACATTCTCATTACATTACAGGCTGATGGACAGGTGACTGTAAAACAAGTTATTCCAGACAGTCCCGTCCACGTTCCAGTACATGCTTATCCAAGTCCACAGATACACATACAGCCATCAGCACCTGGTAAGATACCCTTTTAAGCAGGGCTTGAAAAAAGTGTCATCCAGTCAGCTGAGACAAGTAGATTTTGCTGCTGCCAAAGTAAAATTTCATTCTCAAAAAGGTCCAAAAAAGTAAACTAAGGCTTGCCAAGGGCAAGCAAAATTTGGGAGCTGCTTGTTCGAAGGGCAAGCTGGAAGTCACATGTTTTTAGCCCTGTTAAGTTGTATTTTCTTTATTACCTGCTCTCTTTGCTTGCCATTTTGCAGAGTTCCCACCTAGTTTTGATAACTATGGGTCCTTAGGACTCCCCAGTTCCAAAGAGTGGGGGTTCTTTTTGCTTTTCAGGGTTCCTTTGCCTGTTACTAAACTTTTCGGATCTTTTTTCCTGCACCCCAAGGATGCACTTTGCCAAAAAAAATGTGCATCCTGTTCAGTTTTTGTGAGTATCAGACACACACCTGTGCATTAATGGGAACTCAGATTTTACATTGCAAATAGAAGTTTAAGAAGTTTAGATGAAACTAGTAAAAGATTGCAAAGATTTGTGTGGCCTCTTTCCCATGTCCTAGAACTGTGGGTAAATCCTGGAAAAAAATTTTCAAAGTAAAAGTTCCTCAGACAAGTTTTTCTACCATTCATTTTGATCTGGCCCATATAGTAATGCCATTTTTCTTGTTTCTCCTTGAAGAGTTTCAGCCATATATCAGCCTTGTTAAAACATTTTGTAATAGCAGGCAGGAAGACAGCGAAATTTAATGCCAAAGAAAGATTTGTCGTTAGTCTGGTTTACTAAACTCCACTGTTCAGTTGGCGGCAAACAATTGAAGTTGTAGATGGACAAATTGCTGGATGTGAGCATGTTTTGACAAGGCTGTATACTATTTAAACTAATACACTGTTTTACTTCAACTTTGAGTTTCATGAAATTTATCAATGATAATTTGATTTGTTGGTTGTAAAGGAGATTTAATACACATGACGTATCTCCTACAGTGACCTGCTCATTTAATTTACAGTATTTGATTAGGCTGTAGTCCTTCATTAAACAGTTTACAGGCTAGATGATACCCATTAGCAATTACAGCATTCACATTTTGCTACATTTGAGTGTATTGCTTAAGAAATAGAAAACATGTTGCATCTTTCTAACAAGTTAAAGAAGCAAGAGTGGAATTGTGAGAGAACAAGAAAAGCTGTGGGAACACAAGCCAACAGGC